GTACGCCCCGTACTCTTCCACGGGAGAACGCCTAGTAATACGGGGTGTGAGCGAACGGCTAAAAGTACGCCCCGTACTCTTTCACAAGGAAACGGGTAGAATGTAAATAAATCAGCCTCAGTACGGGGTCTGGACCCCGTATAAAGTTTTGATACGGGGTCAGAACGCCCGTTCTAAAACTTTTTTAAGCTCTTGGGTATAATCAAAATTTATCGAGTGTAACTGTTAGAAGCTCGTGGGACCAAACTTTTTTGGTCCCGATCCCGTGAAGAAAAAAACGTTTGGTCCGGGTGCCGCGGCCCCCCGTAAATATTTTTTAAAGTAGCGCCGGTAGTTTGAAACGGGTTGTAATGTGGCTCGTGGAATAGCATGCGTGAGGCGTATTAACCGAAGACTTTTAGAATTTTTTATGAGTTCTTTCTCACAGAACTGGTGTGTGTAGACTGTTTTCAAAAAGACCGGGTCCTGGTCGCGTTAAAAGTCCTGCAGGACGGGGACCATCCCACAGATCTCTAGGTCCCGTAAAAAGGAATCGTGATCGGGACAAGCGCAGATCTCTAGTAACTGTTGCTTTTTTCGCTTTATACCTGTATTCTTTTAATTTTTGTTCAGTTAATTTTCGGACATGTTTTACTGTCTTCCCTTTAGTACTCATTTTCATAAACGCTTCCTAAATAGGAGTGGCACATGACTGTTACTCATGTATTACATTACTGAAGAAAGTAATACTGATAGGTATTCCACGTATTCCTATTACGGTAATACTAGACGTATTATTGTTGCTCGTAATAGAAGTTTTACTTTCCAGTAATACAAGACTTTAATATTGAGACAATTAAACTAATAATTTTAAAAACTTACCTGTTTTTTCTCTCAATGTGACGAAATCGAATCAACGCACATTCACCATATCTCTCACGAATGCAATAAACTAGATTAATTTTGTATAATAGTGTTTTTATACAATTAATTTACACGGGAGTTAGGCGAGACCTTGATTTTCAGGGGTTCGGGCGTGGTATCGGACGTCTCTGAAGCCTCAGGACCGATATCCAGTAACTTTAGGTAGTCTACAAATCGCTTAGAACTAACATAGTCGACCACGCTCAATCTGATGACAATGTTTATTTTTGGAAAAGACTCAAAAAATCATATCAAAATCGGGTTTTATGAAAGTTGGAGTTTCCATGCTGTTTTCACCTGATAAACCTACTTTAATAGGATAGTTTTGAATTGGTGTGTGTCATAAAAAGGTGTTTCAGACTCTCTCCTTTTGAATGATCAAAACCCTGATTCTCTAACTCTTTCCGTTCTCGGGTTACTCAACAAACATGCACAGGCCTCATAATTTGAAAAGGATAGCAAACATTTCAGCAGAAAACAGAGAAAAAATGTTCGCCTGATATTTCCAAAATGTTCTGGTAGAAATATTCATCCAAGAACATGTTAGGAAATCTTTTGAATATTCTTTTGCAAAACAAACGTTTTTCTTGTATTACTTGTTCATGTGCTGTCTTGTGCTTCTGTAAGCGCTTTATCAGTGTCAGCGATTGGAGAGCATGTCAATCAGTCACATTTGCTCCAGTGGAGCGTGATAACTACCGAAGAGACAGCGACAATAGAAAAAAAGAAAGAAGATACAATGAAGCTGAGTGATAATGTTGAGTGATTGCGTTCTGTAAATCAAAGGACCACGTGGATATCTCAGTTTCCGCCCCTTCCCCTCGTAGTCAAACACGGTGTTTTGCCATCGCCCCTAACCCCATCCGTAACGAGATGGTATCCGGACAGCTTCTTACTGAAATGGAGGTAACTATTCAACAACAACAACAACGTGATAACTTTCGTTCTTGTTTTTCAATTCAATCAACATTTTTTAGTCCATCAGATAGAATAATGAACAAAAAACAATTTGAAATTGAACTAAAATTAGAAGCATTATTTGAAAAATTATCTGATAAAACAGAAAATTTATTACTCATAACACCGATCAGTTGCATAAAATCACAATTGAAAATTTTACGAAAACAAATATCAGTTAAAATGGGACAAGATGTTATAGAAAAACCAGAATCTGATACACTAAAGTTAGAATCATTTAAAACATTAACTATTTATCATGAATTTACTATCGATTTGCTAAATAATCGCTCGTACATTGAACTATTAATAACAGAAAACTATTTAGAAAAATGGCGTGAAAAATACATGCCACAATTGAAAGAGGACAAAGAACGTTTAAAAGAACGACTATTTGAAATTGAACGACAAACTAAAATAAATGAACGAAAATTGGAACAAAAAAATTCGAAACATATTGAAGACATATTTGAACAACTGAAAGAGGAAAAATTAAATTTAAAAACTCAATTAACTGAGATTGATAATAAACTAAACAATATTGATCTAACAATTGGATTATTTTGTGATGAATTATATTCATTATTTGATCATATTTGTAGTGAACAACAACAATTGGTCATTGATCAATATAAAAATATATTTGAACAAATAGCTGGTAAACTAGCACAATTGATGTACAGAGGATTTGGTATACATATTCTACGCGGACGTCCATTATTCAGTCATAGTCGTCTTATTGAAATGACATTAAAGCAATTAGATGTAAATGGGCCACTAACCATTCTAAGTGTAGTTGGAGAACAATCTTCTGCTAAAAGTTCATTGTTAAATACGACGTTTGGTTGTAATTTTCGCGTTAGTGCTGGAAGATGTACAATTGGAATGTATTTAGGTAAATATTTTTTTTGGTATCCGTTGATATCAAAGAGTTAAGGATCTCGCTTGACACTGTCTTTGAATAAAATGCTCAATCAGAATGTGGGCACCAGGTTACAATGCACCAGTTACAATTAACTGTATAACTGTTAAGTAGATATTCTAGAGTTAGTTAGTCTTGTACGATTTGCGTACATTTTAAGAGCGTCCTCACTCTTAAAATGTACGCAGATCGTAACTCATTCTGCCTAACAGTTATGAGCAGTTACAGTTTACACGATTACAGTTCCGACAGTTACGGTTGTAACAGTTACAGTTATCAACAGTTTTACAAGTACACGGTTTGTCCACGTAACTCGACACTTTGGTGATCAGATTTTTGTAGAACTGATAGGAGCATATCTGATTACGAACGAGCTAATTACGAATCTCACGTTATCTTTTTAAAAAAGTTAAATTCTGGCACCAAAAATCAAGATCTACATTTTTGGAAAACTCTATTTTCAATTTCCTTACTTAGACACTTTTCCTACTTAAAATGGAAGGCCGCACTCATCGATAGAGAATTCGATTCTCTATGAGATGGTATGTTTCTTTTGAAGTTTAGACTCAAAACAAACTTTTTGATAAAGTTTTAAGTTTTAAAATTCTCACACAATTCCAAGAAAGTAAAAACATTTTTTCAGCTTTATTTTCACGTTAGTTTATATTAGATGCCTAAAACTAAGTCCGATGTGAAAATAAAATCCTTTGAGCGATGTTTAGTGCTCTAAACTTTGTTGGAAACAAAGTGTGTCGTAGTGTCACAAAAACACAATTATTGAGGGATAGAAAGCTCATTGGAAAGATTCTTTTTTAGCAATCAGTAGCTCGTTTACTCCTCTACAAACTTTGCTCTAGGTGCTTTTTATTAGCTCTTCTAAATTCGTATCAAATTAGCTTTTAATGAGAAGAACTTCGAATTTAGGACCTTTTTTTATCACATCATCACGCGCCGTTCTAAAAATTCGAGTTTTTAACCACATACCTTCATTTTTATACTAAAAGTAGAGTATGGCGAGATGCGTCGAATGGCACAAGAACGAAGTTTCTAGGTCTTACACTTTTTGTGAAAAGCTCAAATTACTGTGTCAAAAATGTCACAACGTGACGCCTGGACAAGTCGTACAGTTAACTGGTGAAAAACTGTAACAGAGGCATACCTATCACAATGAAGTTTTCAGCGAATATTGATCTTGCCATAAATAGCCTTTTTTCAGAAGTATTTCCTACACAATAGTTACTGCGATCGCCACGAGTTCTGCACAAGTTTAATGTGTTGGAAGATTCCGACAGATTGTAGTATAAATAAAAGACTTGGCCGTGGAAGATGTTTTCTATCTTAATTGCTTTTCAGAAATATTATCGCAATTATATAGAAAACATCGAGCTAATTTTCAGAATAATGAAAAATTCCCCTCTGTGACTTTGTAGCCTCAACTCTTTTCTGCAATTCAAAATCCATCTGAGCTACTAAAACTAGCGGAATTCTGACACATGCTCAGGGTTGTAGAATAATGTTGGAAAGACTTAAGATTCTAAGTTAAAATAACGAGTGCCGTATAAAGAATGATCCTATTAGTATTTTCTAAATATCTCTCACCAAGTCTTAATCTTCTTTTTAGAAAGAACCTCATTCAATTCTCTACACAAAACATATTGAACATTTCTTTATATTATACTGTGAGAATAAAAAAATATTGAGAAAATACGGGAAACCTTCAGTGTCAATTACTTTCAAGCCCAAAGTGCAACTAAAAAATATTTATTTTGAACACGGTGCGATGCATCAAAGTAAAATCGAAATGTATTTTCTGGTGTTCTAGAATGTCACCTTTCTTTTCTTGTATCATAAGTTCGCTACAAACCTTTATTTCTGCCACGAATGAAGATTTTACTAAAAGTTAAAAAAAAAGGAAAATTTCTTCGCTTTGACATAGGAAATGAAATGGGGAAATTCGACTTTCACTGTTCGGATGTAATAGAAGAATTCTTTTACTTCAAGATAAACCAGATCTAAAGTCAAAATATGTAGTCCGGATCAAATTACACAAATTTGCCTAAGTGCCTCAAAACTGCAGTTAGAAAATGGTGATTTTGGGTAAAATCACAAAATCCTTCTGCGAGCGCTTGAGCCTATGAAGAGTCTTCAGTACAGTCAGTTGATAGAACTTTTCGAGAACTACAAAATATCCGTTCTCTCTCTATTTATATCGCAAAGTAGAAGGGACTAAAACTGAAAAATCAGTTGTTTGAATTTGAAAGTAATCGATATCGAAGCGTTTCCGTATTTCCTCTATATTCTTTTATTCTTATAGTATATATAGAAATGTTCAGTATGTTTTGTGTGGAGAATTGAGTGAGGAATCTTTTAAAGAAAAGGGGTATTTCGATTGGTCTAAAATAGGCTTTTGATGGGCTCTCGCCAAGGGGTTCGATCCTTCGATAAATGAGACTTCTGTCCCTCGAAGATAAGCGTTGGAAGAATTATCGATTTCGGGCTCTCTGATTCCAGATAGGCAGCAAGTCCCCGAGAAAAATTCGGAGCCGGCGAACAGAGATGTTCGAGATCCAAACAAACGAAAAGACTTCGGAGCCCGAGGATGTGACGAGCGCTCCAGAGTTCTGAGCATCTCTGCTCGATGGCTCGGAATTTTTCTCGGGAGCTGGCCACCTATCTCAAATCTGAAGGTTCGTAATCGATAACCCCTGGAATACTTATAGTGCGGGTCCGGAGCTTCAATCGAAGAGTCGAGCTCTTGGCGAGGACCCATTTTTGAGTACTCACTGCACCCCTCGAATGACACCCGTTATTACTGTAATAATAGAATGTATCATCAAAATTGAGCTTTGTTGAGTTAAAAATATTAAACTGGTCAAGCAGAAAAAAATTCTCAAGGATGTCAATATCGCTCTCGCGGGGGAGGTCCACCAACTTATAAATCGTTTTCCAGTCAAAACCTAATTGACTATAGGTAATCAACCATGCTGATTCTGAATATCACCATGACTGCTGCTGCTAAGTCTTCAAAGATCGGTTTTCTGGAAAACCAGTTTTTCAGGAACTTTAAAAAATAACTAAAACCTTTTCTTAATATCGCACGATTGTAGCCCGCACATTTCGGATTAAAATGAGACGTCTCCCAGCTCCATACGACCTTTCTTTGCAAAGTTATAGAATTTACAAGAAAAGCCCTACATTAATTTCTTCTTATTTCTTTCTGTAGCTTTGAGCTGACAATGAACATTTATGGCTTCTTGTAAACTCTATAACTTTGCAAAGAAAGGTCGTATAAAGCTGGGGAACGTCTCATTTTAATCAGAAATGTACGGGCTACAATCATGCAGTATTAAGAAAAGGTTTTAGTTATTTTTTAAAGT